GTTGATGTATTTATTTATTTATTTATTTACTTTTCAGTTGTTTACTTCTTTGTTTACTTGTTTACCTTTACGTTGTTTACTGCTTTGTCCACGTTTCATTTGCTCATTTCTTGATGATTTTAATTAGTTCACCACATTTCATTGCACCAACCCATTCAACTTTTATTTCGTCACCTATTCGACTAATCATTTTTATGACTAATCATCATAAATCGATTTTAAATACTTCGCGAAGAGCGCTCGTATTGTCTCGTAATCAATTTATTAATCATCAGTCCAAAATCATACCGGAATAATTTTCAATTTTCAGTAGTTTGCGCAAGAGATCGGAATCGAATCCAGTCATGCTGAATCATCCGTCGGCGAATCCGTTCGCTATCGCCACCAGTACGAGCACCTCAGGTCTTGGCGGCTCCGAGTTGTGTAGTGCCGCCATAGGCCAACCACCACCAGCCCATCAGCATCGACCACAAATGGGCTCATCTGCGTCCTCTTCTCTGCTCAATGGCGCCTCGATTGCAAATCCGTTAGATTCCAGTATAAGCACGAGTGAAGCTGCATCCATTGCTTCACATCCAACGCCTCATGTTAGTCGTGTTCTTCTTCTAGCCTCGATGATTGTAGTTACAATAAATGATGTCAATAACGATGGTCATGCTGGATTAAACATCATAAGAATGCCAACACAATGATATTCGGATCAATCATTAGTAGTCTGGATAGTAATATGGATAGTAACAATATCAGTGTATGGATAGTAATGTGGATAGTAACAATATCAGTGTATATGCAATGGTTCTGCAAGCTATTTCCCGAACCCTTCGGCAGGCATCGTAAAACTTGAACATTTGAGTGAACTTTTAGAAAGCACGAATACCCACCAATATACAAGAATCTTTCATTGAGTAATGCCGCTCGTAGAATCGAATCAACAGAATGAGTCGTGTCGTGTCGTGTCTGAATGTCAATGGATTTGCAGGATTGGAGGAAATCAGACGAATTTTTGCAGGCGAACCCTTGGCAGTTGATGGGTTTGATGCCACAGCAAGGCACTGCAATGCAGCAACAGTGTGCCGCCTTACCGCCTCGAGGTGGTTTCTTCGGCGATCCCTCAGCACCACTTCCGATGAGGTATCCGGGCGTCGAGGAGAACACCGCCAAGGACCATGTCAATTCCACATTCTATCAGGTCTGTCCGTTTCAGGCACATTTTTCACATTGTTCCACACTTTTTCTATTTTCTCCGCAGTGGATGGTTTTCATTTTTCAAATTTTCGGTTTGTTTTCGTTGTGATTCCATTTGGTTTGTTTGTCTGATAAATCTTTGATAAGTGCTAACTTAAATGTTTGCGATTGCAAGAGTGATACATTGATGGTACGGTATACGAGCGAGCGATTTGGAGCTATTGCAATTGTCTCTGAATCAAACAAATACCGTTGAAGAAAATAAAATGCTTCGAAAACTGAAAACTTTGGGAATATTTTCGACGTGAATAATTTCAAATTCTTGAGAAAACATATGTTTCACATTAAGATGGAGACTAGTCTGGTGTTTCTATGCGCCGAGACATCTTCTGAATTGCGTTCTATTGAGGTGCATCTCAAAACCATTGTTGAGGCGCGTTCACCATCTTATTATTGTCTATTTGTTATTGTCTTAAAATATTTATTTCATAAGCGAAGCGACGAAATTTATTCCACGATTCTGATACTATTGGAAATATGCTATTTCCCGTTGTGATCGGTCGTTTGTCTGCGACGATCGAAATGTTTCGCAAATCACAAACGAAATTCTCTCTAATTGCTTTTGTCAACATCGACAGTTGATGGCGTAGAATTAATGTGAATCATTAACGGATCTTGAATGGCAAAATCCTTTCATCGCGATGCTCATCGCCAACGAATATTGCGTCTCTCTGATCAATCAAACAGTTTCGCAAATAAAGACGATTACATAAGTAATTGTTGATTGTATCATTTTATCGTAACGTGTAATCATTTGAGGATAATTTTACACTTCTGAAAAACACTCCTAATTCAGCATGTTACAGTTCATGAGAAATGATTTTGCAATCTATGGAAGAACTATTTGTCGTTGCTAGAAGCCGATTTCTAAATAACTATGACTCAGTTTCTGAATTGTTCTTTTTGACGACGAAAAATTTCCGCAAAATTTCGCTCACATCAAGAAGGATTCTCACAATAAGTTGGATGATCTAGTTGTTTTCTATGTTAATATTCTGTTGAAA